ACAATGTCATTCACCGACCAGATCTCCTCAACACGCAGGAGTAGCGTCATCCTCAGATAACCAGACTTCCTCATCACGTAGGAACCGTGTTGTCTCCAAATTATCCCTAAATACGGCTAAAAGTCCTCATCACATAGGAACATTATCGTCCACCGACCAGATCTCCTCAACGCGTGGGAGTAGGATCATCCTCAGACAATCAGACTTCCTCATCACGTAGGAACCGTGTTGTCTTGAAAGTATCCCTAAAGGCAGCTAGACGTCCTCATCATGTAGGAACAATGTTGTCCGTTGACCAGATCTCTTCAACGCATAGGAGCAGTGTCATTCTCAGATAACCAGACTTTCTCATCACGTAGAAACAATGTTGTCTCCAAATTATCTCCAGATTGACTCGACTTCCTCAACGAAAAGGAATATCATCATCTTCAACAAATAGTTTACCTGAAAGCGGTCAGATCTCTTCAACATGGATGAGCGGTGTCGTCTTTAATATCAAGTTTCAATAGCAAACGAGAGAACCAAACAAAAAATCATTGCCTTATCGTCGTTGCCCTGTTCTTGTTAAAACTAAAATGTGCAAAGAGGGGCAGCTATAGACACCCATTTTTGTTTAGGTTTTAATTAATATTATTACTATTATTAATATTAATATTAATATTATTTTATTTTATTAAATAATTACTATTACATTTTATTTTATTAAATAATTACTATTACATTTATTTGTAGGCCCATATTACAAAGCCTAACATAATCAACCTGAAGCCCATAGCCAACCTAACTTAGACCCGGTTATAACTAACCCGACTCGACACGTTCAAAATAAGGTTTCAAAACCCTAGCCCTAATGCTCCCTGTTGTCGTCATCAGCAGAAGGTGGATCATCCAAATGGCGCATGATATGCACGTAGCACCCAACCAGCGCGTGAGATGCACCAATCCCCTCCCAGCTGTGTGAGCCACTATCATCGTCATCAAATCATCCAAAATAGTGAAAAATCATCCAAATCAGTCAAACATATACCAAATCTAAAACTCATTTAAAAATACACTAAAATCCTGATAAATTTGGAAAATGGTCCCCTACCCATAGATCTAATAATTTCACTCGAAAAACACCCTTAAAAATTAGCATGTAGCAATCAAAAGGGGATATGGAATATAGTGGAGGAGTCAAAAAAAATGAAAAAAAGAGATTTTTTGGATAAAAAAAGGTGGGACACGAAAAAAGAGAGAATACCTTACCTTTATCCTTCGGGTGTAAGCGAGCTCCATTCAGTGGAGTTGGGGACACCTTTAAATCAAAGGTAAATATATAAACCCTTTTTTCTTATTTTGTTTGTTAGGCTTCGTTTGGGTGTTAAAAGAGAAGGTTCTAGTTCAGATAAAAAAGGGGTAGTCAAGGAGTGTTATCCTTCATCACTGCCAACAAACGGAGGTCGGAGAAGGGATGGGGTGGCCTCTGTTTTCCTGGTTTGTTTCCTAAAAGCCTAAGTAAAGAGAGAAGGAGTTGGGAAGTATAGAAACAATGTAAGGAGAATAGGGGTCTCTGTATATAATTAGGTTTTAATTAAACCTAAATAAACCCATGGGGCAAGCCTTGGCCTTAAAACGTGATCGTCTGTGTCTAAAGGAAAAGTCCAAATTTAGGAAATATAGGATAATTGTATGTGAAAGGTCCAATCTTTTGTAACATTGTGATTTAGCAATTGTATGAAATTTTAGTTATTTCAGTTTTGACATTTTACTTTTTCAAATATTTCATTTTATTCCTGTTATGTGTATTTACCTCCTTTATGATATCTTTTGCATTTAATATATTATTTTAACAATATTCATCTTAGCCCAGCTTGTTACTTAGTGGTTTATTTCCATCTTGGTATGTATGTTTCACAGTATTCGTGTTTGTTGCCATGATACTTGCTGGTTTTATTATTTGGTTCCAAAAGTTGCCATTTTTTGTTGTGCTCACTCATTTTCATGCCTTGATAAGTCTCTGCTATTTTGCATTTTGATATTCCATGCTCGCATGTTATGATTTATATCCATTAACCCTCTTTATATTATGTATATATTTAGAAATGCATACCTATGTGCATATATATTTTGTATGTATATTTTTAATTATTATAAAATACTTTTTGTTTATTTGAAAAGAATATAAAATATTTTTTATTCGTATTTATTTTCGAGAACATTCAACGTAGAATGAGCGTGGAAAACATTGCTTGGTCGAAGTAGTGCGATCCGATACGACATTCGAACGAAATATGAACTCAAAATCAATCGAGTTTATTTTTTAAAAGTACTAATTAATTCTTTTTTTTATGATGCAATGCATGTTTTAATAGAATTTATTTTATGCGAATGCTAATATTTAATTTATATTTGATTTGCGATTTTTTGATAAATCGAGGAGGAAATATTCTTTTTAGATCAGAAATAGAAGAGATAGCCGTTTCATCGGAGGATGAGCAAATCTCGATATTTCTTTTCAAATTAAAGGATTTTCCCTAATAAATAATCTGAAGCAAATTAATTCAACTTTAATAGATGGATCATATTCTAACTTAATATTCAATTTATAATTTACACCACTTGCGACAATATGTAAGCGATTAAGTACCATATTTGGGCGTTGTGTGGGTACTTATCTTTCCCCACGCGTAATCGACTCCCGGATCCAAAAAATGAATATTTGATAACGCAAACCAATTTTTGTCTTAAAACAATTTTTCTTAAAATTGTTTTAAAATACGTTTTTAGGTATTCGACCTATCTAGCCCAAAGGTCGATGGCGACTCCTATTCAAAGATAATTCAAATTAATTCAAAATTGCCAATTTTTCAAATAAATTCATAATTGTTTTTTAAATAATATTAAATTATTTTTCTAAAAAATGGTTATGACAACTTTGTTTAGTTTGCTTAATTAGAATATAAGATTATAGTGTTTTGTTGGAGAAATATAAGATTACTTGATTGCATATATTATCAAATTATCCTTATTATATATATATATATATATATATATATATATATTATATTTTTAACAAGTAAAACTTTAATATTAAATTATAAATATTTGAATGAAAACTCATAAAAATATTTTAATTATTACACTATCTAATTTAAAAATAAATAAATTTAACATATAATTAATATAATTAGAATATGAAGCTTAAAAGTTTAAATAATTTTCATAAGTATCATATTTATTTATATAAAATATAATATAATATGAAAAATAATATTGTGATATCGACTAAACAAATATATTATTTTTTAATATATAAAATCTATTTTTTTAATAACTCAAAATTAAATATTATTTTAAATAATTACATTTTTACAATAAAAATATTTTTCACCTCATAAAAGTATAAAATAATTAATGTACTAAAAATTGAAAATATAAAATAATTTTAACTACTCAAATTTATTAATATTTTATTAAATTAAACTCTTTGTATATTATTATTATTAAGTTTATAATTTTGAGTAAAACACGAAGAATAAGAATTGAGAAGAATCCATATGAAAAAAAATCATTATTTCAGGGGTATTTATGTCATAAGTGGTGGGAATTGTTTATTACCTAAGAATTTGGAGGTAATGATATTCCCACCATTTTAACCCAAAATGTTACTATTGGTAATAAGTTATTACCTGAGAATGATTTTTTCTGTGAATCAAACATGAGAATACAATTCTAGAAAAAATCCATGTACCAAACGCCCCCTTAGGATCATATTTTTTCTTCTCACTCCTCTAGATAGGAATTAGGGGTGTGTTTTCGGATACATATATTATTCGGTTTGAAAATTTCAGATATCCAAAAATTTTGATCTGTATCTGATCCGAAAAATCGAATATCTAAATTTTTGGATCGAATTATCTGATATCCAATCCGAATATAACTTTTAATTTGAAAAATATTAAATTTAATATTTTAATGCATATTATTAAGGATAAATTTTAACTTTTTGATTGAAAAGTATCATTAATTTCTTTCATGATAAAAAAATGATTTCATAGATATATTTTAAATTTTAATACTTTGAAAATGTTAAGTTAATATTTTAAAATTGAATTAAAATTAATATTTTAATACTTGAAAATGTTAAATTATTTTTTTGAAAGATGAAAATGCTAAATTAATATTTTAACTTTGGGGTGTACTGGAATTTAGGCCTGTAAATGAACTAAACGTTCAGTGAACCGTTCATGAACCGTGCGGCGGGAAGTTCATTTACACGCGTTTATTTATTAAATGAACAAACATGAACAAGATTTTGTGTTTGTTTAATTAAATGAACGAACTCGTTCGTTCATTAACGTTCGTGAACGTTCGGTTATGTTCGTTCGATTATGTTCGTTTATGTTCGTTCGGTTATGTTCGTTTATGTTCATTCATTTATGTTTAACCCAAAATTATTAAATCAATTTTGGTGGCCAATTTGTAAGTTATAATGTTATATTATAACTTTAGATTTTTTAAAATTACATTTTTAAAAATATATTAAAAACCCTAAACCCTAAACCCTAAACCCAAACTCTAAACCATAAACCCTTAATCTAATTATTAAAATCCTAAACCCTAAAACCTTACCCCTAAACCCTCAATCTAATTATGTGACAGGGGGTTAAGTTATGCACATGAAGGTAACATACAAATTATGCAAAATGATGTTATGTGACTCCTAAATAAATCATTCACATACTTATACATAAACATATAAACATGCAAAATAAATATACACAACTAATTAAAGAAAACAATCATAAACATGGACTAAATTAAGAGAAACCTAAATGTGAGGACTAATTTCAGCTAAATATACTAACTTTAGAATGATGATTAAATTCACGTAAATGTAAAATTAAACTTATTATCGATCGTAACTAACTTGTTATCGGAGTCATTTCCACATATTAAAAGCCCCTCCAGGAAAAAAAAGGATAACATCATTTAATGAGCTGCCAAGTGGTTCAAGTTTAGAGAGACAAATTACCTTGGAGCCAGGCTTCTAAACTTCTATTTGGAACAAGCTCATAACAAAGCAGATTTTGTGAAGAGTCACGATTGCTATAGTAACCTACAAGTTTCATAAGATTGCGATGATGCAATATGCTAAGCATCCCAACTTCAACTAAAAACTCTTTATTTCCTTGAGGCCCTCCACTGATAAGCCTTTTAATCGCTACAGCCGTCCCATAAGTTAAAACACACTTGAAAACTCTGCCGAATCCGCCCTCCCCAAGCGTGCTTGCGGGTGCAAAGTTGTTTGTTGCTTCTTTGAGCTCTTCATATTGTAGAAACCGAGTGCTGCTTAGGCGGGGAAGAGACCCTACTTGTGTAACCGCATCTGTAGTCTTTGGTTTTACTGCAAGAAAAGAAAAACCTAAGCACTCCGCAAGACTGAATTAAAACCGGTAATGCAGAATCAATCAGCATTCTTGTTACAAGGTTTTACAAGATGCGCAAAATCACACAACTCAAGCTTTAATTTTTAGCTAACCGTAAAGAAAATCATAGTCATTGTGGTTAAACATACTAGGTTCTTGAGGAGATACTTCTGCCTTCCCCCAACGAAATGCACATGAACAAATTATAAGCACGAATATTATAGCTAACCGAAAGGAAAATCATAGTCATTGTGGTTAAACATTTTCGTAGCTGGCCATGCCGATGAGAGAAAATGCAAGAATAAAGACATCAGCCCCACGATAGCCCAGTGGCCTTGCTGAAGTAATATCCCACATTGGGGAAGTACATGAGTGGACCACATATTTGGCATTATAAATAAAAGGTAGCTACCTCCTTTCAACATACTTACCTGGACTGGGTCAATCGAGCTTGAATCGAGCTCAAAATCGAGCTTTATTCGAGCTGATGAATTTTTTTTAAGTTCGAGCGTTTTTGAGTTCGAGTCGAGTTTCATTATTATATATCGAGTTCGAGTTGAAATTTTAAGCTTGCGAGTTTTCGAGTCGAGCTTGCTCTTAAAGTTTTTGAGTTCGAGTCGAGCTCAGCAATACTCGAGCTCGACTCGGCTCGTTTACACCCCTAGAAAGAACAATGGAAGGTAGGGTCTCCAACTTTTATGTTCATTTATGTTCGTGTTCATTTATGTTCGTGTTCGTTTATGTTCGTTTATTTATTAAATGAACGAACATGAACAAGTTATATTCTTTAATAAATGAACATGAACAAAAAAAAATTGTTCGTTTATGTTCGTGTTCGTTTATGTATTAAATGAACGAACATGAATATACCACCGTTCGTGTGCGTTCGGTTCGTTTACATGCCTACTGGAATTAGAAAACGGAAGAAGGTTATTTGATCGGGGCAAAACCTTTAAAAATTAATATTTTAAAATTGAATTAAAATTTGATATGGCCATTAGTGGGCGTAGACCAGGATATGGGAATTAAGTGGGAGCAGACCATGATATGGGTATTAGGTGTGCTAGGATTGTTGGGTTACCTTCTTAAGGGCCCAATTTCTTATCGGATTTTTGGATAATCTTAAAATCGATTTTAGCCAATCCGTATCCGATTTGATTATCCTAATTTTTCATATATCCGATCCAAACTATCTAAAAATTAAAAAATGGATCGTATATCCGAATTTTTAGATCGAATCAACGGATCAACATATAAGATCGGTCGGATTGGATTTTTTTGCACTCTTAATAGGAATTGTTAAAAAGAGAAAGAGAGAGAGATGTGTCCATTTTCACCTTGGAAAACAAAATGTAGTTTTTATTGTTAGTATTATTTTACCTTTGAAGATGGTGGACAAAATGTCAAAAAGCCTTCTATTGGTCGGGTCGACTTGTTATTTGTGACCTAGCATACTCAATTGACTCATATCATGTCATGTGCAAACCTCTCCTTTTACACCAAATGGCTAACACACAAAGAAATGGTATATCTCATAAGTCTAATCCCACTTTCTTTGCAACACTAAATTGGGAGTTCCTACACTGCATTTGCTCATTCACTGGGACGCCATGAACCCTTCTTTCCCACAAGAAATTGGCCTTGGTAAAGGTTTGTTGACCAGTGCAGTGATCTCAGTACTGGATTCACCTTCTTTATTGTTTCCATGCTGTCTTGAAGCAACAGATATCCATCTGGTCTCAGTATCCGGTCCATTTCCACTGCTATTTCTACAATGTCACATCTAGGGGAGATGAAAAGTCTTCATCATTCACTCTTATATCTTAAAAACTTCAAAATTATTCGAATATTATCTCTTTTTTTTTTTGAAATATTTGTGTCTCAAACTCATGTAAAACATATAAATATAAAAATATGACATTTAAAGATCTTAATTACATGCAAACAACTTAAAAAATATAATCATAATCATATCGAATATATATCCACATTCAACACTCCTACCCAAGTTCAGTAGGGTAAATAAAGTAACAGGCTTTTAGCAATGTGATCTACTGGCTAGTTGAAGTATAAAAGAGGGCAATAAATCATACGGAAAATTTAGACCATTACTTGTATGCATACCTCAGTGTACGGTTTTGGAAGAGAAAACTGGAATGCAGCAGATCATATGTTCGAGGGTAGGTGTTAAAAGACTCGCACCAGTCGTGATAGATTCCGATCAAGCCCCTTTCGAAAATAATAGGCATGGTATCTTGTGCATCAATGGGTACAACATTCATCACCCAGAGAGGAAACTCATTGAGTGCTGCTGCAAATCTGTAAAAATTGCAATGCAGATAGTGTTGTAAGTACACGAATCTGTAAAAACACAATGCCACGTTGTTTAAATTGTTATATTTCATACCCTCCATAACCAGCATTCATGTCCATCACATTTCTTACACTAGCCCATTTTATAGCCAGAGCGTCAAAATAGACATCCGATACAAGTGACGGCCAATGCTTGGTGTCCTCATTGAATATATCCTCTGTATCTGGTTCAGATGGAAGGTTTTGAGGTTTACTGGTAAGCCTCTGGGGCCATGGTGCAGGCCAGCTGATCAAATTACCCTTGCTATCAACTGGAAGTCTGGAAATACAATAACTAAGGCGCTCATTCCTGTCACAGTGAATTACAAATCATAAGGATCAATTACAAAACAAATAGAGAGGGAGAGGCCTTTCGATATAAGTAGATAATGCATTGTAAAAATTACCATTGGACCTTCTCCTTATTTTTCTGATCACACAAGGGTGGACGTCTTGCTATGTTGGGACGGAGGTCATAACAGGAAGATGAGGAAGGCTTCTGATATGTTACAAGCCCAACTCGAGTCGAACCAACTCTTTTCTCCATAGACACAACCTTCCAGCATATGGATTTTGTCAAAGCCTCCATTGCTGTTATATATACAATTATACAGTACTAGATCAACATAGCACATTCAGATTCTACTAACAAAATGCTGAAAAAACTAATAAGAGAGGTGACCAATCATGGCAGGATAGAACAAGTAGTCAAAGCCTCACACTTCCAAACTTTACGATCCTTGTCATCGTTTTGATAAACCGGTGTAGCAGACCATATAAAGAATCCTCCAGGCCTAAGGACCCTATTCAGCTCTAGTAATGGCCTCCCACCTGCATTTTGCATTTGAAAATCAGCAGCAAAGTCTCAACAATCCCATTGTATCTGAAACAAAACATATTAACTTGAATGGAAAGACACCGTACCATCCGCTTCCCAATGAACTCTGCATCGTGCACAGTGTATCAAATCATACGCATCATCCGGGAATGTCAGCTTTCGCGTGCCGATTACAGAAAGTGTAGCAGGAATTCCTCTTTCTAAAGCAAACTGTATCTGAGCTTCATGTTCATCCTTTGGGGCAAATGACATGGTAATTACATCTTTGTCCAGCAAATAACCACCAAAGCTAGCAACGCCGCAACCAACATCTAAAACAACCCTAATGTGTTCTCCACATTTAATAGCCGGTAAAGTCTGGAGTCACAAAGAGAAAACGAATCAGTTACCAAGTATTTATGGAGTCTACTCTTCAACCAACTGTGATGAATAAATCCGTAATCAAGTCCTAGTTTGCATAAAGATTGGAAGATTATAGTGGATACCTTTTGTATAAAATCAATATAGAAATTAACCCCATCCTTGAATTGTGTACCACCTCCAGGGAAAACAAAATAATCACCGGATTTACGCACCCAATTCTGATCCTTCTTGTATTCCACTAGCTTGGATGGGGGACGTTGCTATACCAAATCTGTAGACGAGTAATGATGAGTCATATTTAGCAAATAAAGCAGCATTAGATCCTCTTTCTAATACACATCATCTGATTTCAATTCTTTGCATTTGATAATTTTACAAGTTATTGATCTCTCCAAAACTTACCTTAATAAATCAGCCATCCCTAAACCATACTTATTTTTACCCAAGAAAACAATACTTTTTTTTTTCTGGATTCAATCAAGAAAGAAAAACACATTTCTTGACGAAAATATCATCACAAAACTTTGATATTGTGATTGAAAATCCAATAAGATTCAGTTAAAGCCAAATATCTTACCAAAAATAAAAAGTAGCAGTATCAAACAAGCTCACCATGTCCCTGCTCTTAGGCCATTGAATGGGAACCTTATAATCGGGGGGCAAAGGCACCAAACACCTAGGAGGGCGACGAGGACAGTGCCTTTCCCTGTGTTCCATGTGTTTCTTGGATTTCAAACGCTTAATGGCTTGGGAATTATCCAAACAGGGTATATAATCAACCGTCACCGATCCTAATCTGCAATTCTTCCAGTTTATGTTTGAAGTGGCGTTCAAGTCAAGGTCATCAGGTGGAGCCTCCTTCTCCTCCTCTTGGGGTATTGGTGGGGTGGAAAAGGGAGGAGAAAGGGAGACGTGGAAATCGGAGGAGATGGGGAGGGAAGTGAAAGAGAAGAGGAAAGGGTAGAAGGAAGAAGAGAAGGTGAAAAAGAAGAAAGGCAAGGCCAGGAGGAGGGAGGTGAGGAGGAGAAGGAATGGATAATTTCGTTCACCCATGAGGACTGAAATCCAAAGGAAGAAAGAAAGAAATTATATTATTAAAATGGAAAGAGATGATGTTTTGTTTTGGATTCAGAATTGAGAATAAAAAGTGGAGTTTCTGTTTATATATATATGTCAAAGCTGTTATGATTTTTTCATAATGCACCCTTCACTCCCTCACTTTGCTTCTTTTCTTTAACTGAAATAACTGACATAATACAAAATAATGAAAAACGAACCAAGGAACTTTAAAAACCAATGCCACCGTGGGGCTCATGAACCCACGAGTACAAGGTTAAGAGCCTAGTGCTCTACCGACTGAGCTAGACGGGTAATTAATTATGCTTGCAATAATAAATTTATGCTTGCAACAATAAATTATACTTATAAGAATACAAACTAAAAGAAGAAGAATAAGGAAAAGTGTAAGAAAATATAAATTATGCTTGCAATAATAAATTTATGAAGAGTGTGAAAATCTTTTAAATGGAAAAGTAGAAGAATAAAGAAAATTGAAAATGCAATAAAACCATTCAGAATTATTATATAATATAATAATATTTTATTTATAAAAAATATATTTTTTCCTTGGACTTATAAAAGCATAATCTACAATCAAGCACGTAAAAACATAAACTCTATCTTGTGCTCTAAGTTCT